GAGAAGGCCGGAGTCACACTTAGACCTCATGTTAAGACCCTCAAGGTAGGAAATTGACATATTTCCACTCCGACGTATTTGAGGTCATGACTAACTGACTCGCAGAGTCTAGAAGTCACGCGGTTGATGCTGGGAAATGGCAAGTACAAGAGAGTTGTGGCATCAACACTGTCAGAAATCCGGGGATTATTGCCATTAGCAGAAGAGGGCATTCTCGAGGAGGTTTGTTATGATTCGCCAGTAAAGATACACAAGGACTCGCAGAACTGAGGCATTTTCTTTTAGGTTCTGTATGGGCTGCCGCCTCCAGCAAGCACCATCCATCTGCTGGAAGATCTTCGAAAGTCCACCAACGTCCAGCTCATGATCGACCATGAGAAGCAGCTCATAATCGTAGAGAAATTTGTCGCCAAGAACACGGAAAGCACAATCAAACCCTGGGACATCTACATCAAGCTCGATGTGGGTAGCAAGCGCGCCGGTCTTCCCCTGGGCAGCGATCGTCTTACAAAGTTGATTCAACACGTCAACAACTCACCAGCCGTCACTCTCAAGGGTTTCTACTGCCATGCAGGCCACTCTTATGGGTGCCGGACACCACAAGAAGTGGAGGATCTCCTTACGGTCGAAATCAACAGTGTCCTGAGCGCTGCGAAGCTGGTCACTGGTGACAGAAAACTCACTCTATCTGTGGGCGCTACACCGACGGCTCATGTTGTTGGCACTCTTAAGGCAGCGATCCCCGAGAACGTCACCTTGGAGTTGCACGCCGGTATGTACTTCTCGCTAATCTTGACCGCAGAGGCGAGACACGATTAACACGAGGGTTTCTTAGGGAACTTCCCAACAAACGATCTCCAACAGGTCGCAACCAGCGTCATTGGAGCCGAAGACCAGGCCATCCGCGTCCTCTCCGAAGTCTGCGGCGTGTACCCGGAGCGCAACGAGGCTCTCATCAACGCCGGGACAATCGCCTTGTCAAAGGAAGCTGGCCCGGACCCAGGCTATGGCAAGGTTGTCGGCAAGCCTGACTGGGCTGTTGTTCGAATGTCTCAGGAACACGGTATCCTGGGTGAAGTTCAGACACCGGGCTCAAAGACTGCTGAGCCGGAGCGCAGAGATGTGGAAGCGAATTTCGATGTTGGCGATAAGGTGTTCCTCAATGTCCAGCATGCCTGCATTACTGCTGCGGCCTTTTATGTTTACTACGTTGTAGATGAGAATGATGTTGTGGTAGATACCTGGGTTCCGTGGAAGGGGTGGTAATGGTGAAAAGTTTGACAGTTTAGTCAAATAGAAGAAGCCTTAGTCCCTCATACCTTACTATAAAGAAAATATTCGTGGTATCATATTCGCCCGCTCTTGATGAGACCCGTCCATAAATGTACACACATGTTGATCGAAAAATGTTCTCTGGTTCCGCCAGTCGCCGCCATTTTTCGTTCGTTCGCACGCTCGCTGGCCCCTTAAACACCGCCGCTATTCATATCAATCATGTCCCCAGTCCATCTACGCAAATGAAATCCAAATCTGATTCTCGTTCATGACCCGACAAACCTGCCAAGGACCTGCCCCAATATCCGCCGGAATGACCTCGTTGTGGTCCCACAGGTGCTGCAGTACGACTGAAGTTTGTCGGATGTTACCCAGACCAATGGTGGCAAACATATGGCCCAACCTCTCATGCAGGAATTCTTGTTGTCCCTTATCTGTGACGCACGAACCGATAATGGTGATGGGCCAGCATAGACTAGTGTTTATGCGGACGCTAGGATCTAGTTGTGCTAGATGTGAGAGAGCTCCGCTGAGGGCGTTTTGGATAGCCATTGCCTGGAGGCCGTGCTCTTCTCGAGAGAGTGTATGTAATGCCGTGTGCAGATAGAGCAACAAGGCTTTCTGGTATATATATCCGGCCAAGGCAACATTCTCAGTCACCATGGGGTTTGGCTGCCAGTTGAGGATCTGACTTTGTAGTTGTGAGAACAGAATAAAGTCATCGGCTGATGGGCGCCAATCCGGCTCGTCCATGTGGCTCATTATCCGCCGTCCCAGGTCGAAGATCGAAGGCACCAGCAGGATCAGATCTAGCCAGCATCCGCATAGACTACCTATGTAAGAGGATGCCACGAGCTCAGTGGCGAGGAGAATGAGGTCGTTACTGAGGAATAGTTGATCACCAAGTCTTGCGTCTATGGATATCATGCTGACGGTCGCCGTGTAGATGTAGTATTCGGTCAAGAAGTCTTTCAAAGTCTTGTGTAGAAAGGTGTTGTTCGCAGATAAGAAGGGCAAGATCAAGGACTGGGCTGCCATGAGATGGTCGAAGATGGTTCCATTCACGTCACCTTTGGCAGTCTACAAGGGGTATCAATATCACGGTGAACTCAATTCCGAGCGTGGCAGTGCAACATACCTCGACCAAGCACAGAATCAGGGCACCAATGCCCAGGATCAGCGTTTCTTCACCATGCTGTCCGCCCATGTACGTCGAGATGTTTTGCTGAAAGAGTCGTAACGACTGATTGTAGTATTTGGTTGCAATATGGTCCGTCGGAACTAAAGACTTTGCTGCTCGGTGAACGGCACTCTGCGTAAGGAGTAATTGTAAGACGAGATCGCTGCTGAATGCTAAAGGAATCAACTGCGCGGTGAAAGGGTTGTCTGCCGTGGATCCATTGGCCATACTGAGCGATGTCGCGCTGAGGTAGTGACTGAGAAGCTCGAGTGAGTTGCTATCCTGATTGCCGGCCAGGAGGTTCATTGACCTCGGCACATGGTGATCTCTGAATATCGACATTGGCTGAACTGGCGAGTGCACCATCTGATCCGTAGTCTCGCCATCGTCCGGGTCCTCCGTGTTAAAGACCGAAAAGGCGGAAGGGTCTTGAAGTCCGATGGCAGCCGCTGTGTGCTCTTCTGGCGTCTGGGGAGGGACGATGATTCCGCCGCTCTGATCTGTCGTGACGATCTGGGTTGCCGGGCTTGGACTCGAGTCTGTTGTGGCTGCACTTGGTGATTCCGAGGATTGGATATGTGATGCAAAAGAGAAGTTGACTGAACGATCTGGGAGATGCTGGGGACTCTGGGATGCCACCGTGGACCCTGATGGTGAAGGAGCAGTAGGCTGAACATCGTCCTGCCGCGTGCTCTCTGGCGAATTTCCTACCTCGCGGGGTGAGCGCGAGGTGCCGCCGCTTTGGGTAGCTTGAGAGGAAGAGGCAGCGGCGGTGGCCTGGGATGAGGACGTTGGGGGCCAGCGGCACTCTAGGCGGTTCCGCTCACAACCGCGACACCGCGGCTTGGTCTCGTCGCACTTCTTCTTGCGACCGCGGCACGTCAGGCACCCCGTACGGACGCGGAAGATTGGCCCCGCAAGGGTACGGCGGGGTTTCGTTGACATGGCTGAGAGAGCCGGCCGGGCCCGTTGAAGTGAGTGAGTGACGAAGGGAGGGAGAGAGAGGGGAAAGACAAAGCGCCAAGAAAGCCCGAAAGTTGAACCGTCCTCCGATAGAAGGGGAGAGCGAATGAGGCAAAGTTCTAGACCAATCCCAATGGAACGGGCAGCAGAAGAAGCGAATGCTTGTGTGTTAGATGTGATAGACTGATCTTTGCATGAACAGTTGACACGGAGTTGGAATGTCGAATGGACTGCCTCCGCGTGGGCCAGATAAGGAAAATTTGCCGGGGTCGTGTGAAGGCGCACTATTCGTGTCTCGAGCGCGGTCCGCCGGATCCGCCCGACCCACTTACTTCACCGGTGCCAGCGCGGTAAAGAACCGGATTGGCCACCCCGCATCCTCCTTGTCTCGGCCGGGTTACCCTGACGAGGCCTAGTCGGCACTTTGTCATCGTCCTCACCCCTCTTCAGCCTCAATGAACTCGGATAGGGTGTTGGGAGTTATCAAGTATCAGATCTTTGAAATTTCCCCAGCTGACCCACCTACCGTTGGAGGACAACTGTAATTTTTGCAACGGGCCTAATGGTTTGTACATTCAATGAATAGGGCGCATACTGTCCTCCGTACGTAGGCAGGGTACTATTATAAGGAAGTGCCTGTCTACCCATTTTAAGCATCGTGTCTATCCGCAAAATATCGATATCGCATCTAGCTACCCACCTATTCAAATCTACCCGTCAAGGCGTCAACGGTGTAGTGGGCCTAGATCTCTAGAAAATTCGATCACGGTCTCGTAGACAGAAATTTCTCGTGGGCAATTCAACATCTTTCGCATGCCTAAGTACCCAGCTTCAATGCCGGAGAACTGCCTGTGATCCATCAACCATTCTGCCTTGACTCTCGCACGAAACCTTTTCATCTCCCTGATCTTGCGAGAATATTAGTTGGCTTTTTTAATCGCATATGATAGCTTCTTGGTTTTGTATATTTGGGAGGACTAGAAATCAGGTATGCATACTGCAGGGCAAGGGTAAATTGATAATGCTGTTGGTGCAATTCGGATTCGTTGTACCATACATCTCTTGTCTTCATGGGATGATATGGATTCAAAATAATTTCCTGCTCAGTGGGGGTTCAAGACTGGCTGACTGAGAGGCGACCAATTTAATCCGGCTCTCGCAACTATCACATGTAATGAACATTCCAATTTGCAATGGGTTAATTATCCATCGTGGTGATCTGCAGAAAGCACCTAAATTAAGTAGTCAATAGATCAGCATTCTTATCATCACTTACAAAAGTTGTTTGTATCAATTTAAATGAGCTCCTAGAGCTTGTATAATTTTAGTACTCTATCTAAACTACTAGGTGCAGATGATCGGGCATCGAAACAATCTCCAAATCGCAAAACAACTATTTGGTATGACAAACCTGCTCCATAACAAGGCCAACTAAGTAACTAAGTCACCAACCCTTCGTATCAAAAGGTAAACTAGGCACTAAATATGCCAACTCGCGTGCATACGATGTGCGTGCTAGGAAATGATTCGTCTTTTCAATGCCCATGCTCTTCCATGTCGAGATTATCAGTCTAAACTGGTTTCAGGAACCATTCGAACCTTTAACATATGGTATACTGTAATTGTATAGTCGCGGGTGGGTGTTGTAGTATGGATCAAATGTTAACAAGGCAAAGCCTGGGTCGCCCGCAGCAATATTGTTTGGCCAACAAGTATTGAGCTCCAGACCATCGTTCGCTGGTGGGTTGGCAGCATGCCCCCATTTGTTAATGGTAAATTCTGGCCGAACTGTAGCCGTGATAGCGGCCTGAGTTCTTGTCACGCCGCCTTGTATGATGGTCTTCCTGTTGGGATCGGCATCGACTTTGGCCTTGAATTCGGAGTCCTTCATGTCTTCGATGGCGGCACCAAGACATATTCCTTTCCACATATGTCCTGCTCCTCGATTCATTCCTCCTGGGATTAGACGAATTAGTTGTCCCTGTGCATTCTTACCAGAATTGAGGCGGGCTGGGTCCTGTAGTCCTAGAAGATATGCAGGTGGGTATTCGTCTTTGTCGCAATCTACCTTATTAGGGTTCGATTTGACTTCATCCAGCCATCTATCACCTTTATGTTGCTTCTGAAAGGCTGGCACAGCTTCTGCATCTAAGCGCCACGCCGTTGCCGCGGCTTCAGGCGGACAAGTTAGAGTAGCCCATTGCGGATTGACCTTGATAGCCGAACTATAATGGAAGCAAGCTTGAGACCATTTTTGGCTACATTCTCTCTCCACAACAGTCGGCTTGGCGTTGGGTGCGTAGACAACCGATGTTACAACTAAATCATTTTTCCTTGTCGCATCGTTGACACAAGATTGTATCCTCAATGTGTTTTTAGCAGCCCCAAGTCGCATGGTTGATTTTGCTGGTGGAACCCTGCACTTCCGCCCCTTTTGGATCTTTCTATCAGTGGGGTTATTGTCGTCACCCTTTTTGCCACTACCTTGTTTGAGGTTATCCGATTTCTTCTTCTTCTCGAATCGGTCTCTTCCAGCAGGCGAGTTGCTCAATATGTCATATACTTTTTTGATGTCTTCCGGAACCAAGTTTGTTCCGCCACATGGCTGAAGCCACCAAGAGAAAGCGCCTTCAGGGTCTTCTTCCTTGGGATAAAGATATGCTGCCATTTGAGCAGCCGTGTTGGCGATTTCTAACCAGATGTATAAGCTTCAGATTCATAAGTGGGGAATAGGAGATGGAAAAGGCACCGGGAGGTGCAGAGAGATAATGAGAGAGGGGCAAGGGCATACCTAGGCCAGCGCTAATTGGCTTGCCTACCACAGGAATAAATTCTACACCAATTTCCAGCACTAGTTTCAGCGTTGACATCATAATATAGCATGAGATCTGTGATGTTGGTTGTGAGTTTCATCTTTACTTCATATTGCCCCGATTGATTATGGTGTAGTGACGCTTACCTGAGCCATCTGTGGCATGCCATCCAAGACGATATCTGCAAATTCGTTTACCAGAGGGTTGTTGCATTCGCATTTCCCTCCAGCAATTGTCGTATCTGGGCCGATCTTTTGCCAAGGGATAGGTTTGTCGATTGGCCAAAAGCCCAGGCAGAACGCATTAGACATTTTGCCTTCTTTCTTGGCTTGATCAGTTTCTGGCTTGCAGATGGAATCGCAACTTTTCTTTTGGTAGTCCCAGTGTTGAGGCTCTTTGTAGATGTTGCAATTCTTCGAATTGCTTTGCTTGACACGCCTGATATAGTTGAGAGGGTCCTCAGGGTCGGTTACCACGATGTCGATGTCACTCGTATCTGGTCCATCGATACGGCTCGTGCAGATATCTTGTGGACAATGGCCGTACTTGCAGGCAAACTTGCAAAGAATATTAAGATCCGTGTTCGTATCGTCCCAGGCGACGACATCGACTTCTTTCTCAGGCGGAACCTGTGATGGAATACCTCGGGCGGTGCACTCGCACAAGGATTCTAGGCAGAAGCCGTATTCGCAAGAAAACTCGCAGAGATCGCCAGTATTCAAAGTGCGATCTTCGCCTGATATACATCGTTGCAGGTCGCGGCTTTGGAAGGTAGGCTCAGGATGCGGAGGCTGATGTTGAGGCGGCCGAGGGCGCTTAGGCTGATGTTGAGGTGGCCCAGGACGCTTAGGCTGAGAACGCGAAGGCTGAGGATGCGGAGGCTGGGGACGTGAAGGCCGAGGACGAGGAATCTGAGGACGCGGAAGCTGAGGACGTGAAAGTCTGAGGCTAGGATCAGATATCTCATGAACCTTTACGCCAGGCAAAACGGTTGCGTTTTTTGGGCCCGCGAAACATTTCCCTTGACTCCAACCCAAAGTAAACTCTTCAACCAGCTCGCGGTTTTCGAGAATGTCAATTGCAATGCCTAAGATCCTTTCAGGTCCTCGACTGTCATCGCAAATCTCGACGAGCATCTGAGTAGAATGGCCGAGAATTGGCAGATACGAGATTGCATTCCATGCAGACGTTATTGTTGACTTTGCCAAGGAGCCTCCGCTATAGATACTCACTATCATGCTTCTAGATTGGGCGAAGAGAGTTTTCGTAGGGCAGTTGGAGGGATCTGCAAGCGTTCGCTCTACTGACTGGCCTAGGAGAATAAAGTCCAACCCACTGAAATTGTCATTGCCGTCGTTGCCTCGAACTACCATGACTTTGCTCTCGACCTCTTGGCCGGTAGACTCACAGGATGCGGAGTACATGCCATCTGGTTGCCGAATACTAAACTGAGAGCTCTTCGCGAATGACTCCGATGTCCAGTCTATGACTGGACGACCGGAATTGAGCGAGCAGCCGTAGACGGTAGTGGTAGAAGTTAGGTTGGCAAGAGCGTCGGGAAACATTGGTGCAATAAGCATGGGTTCCTGGCAGCGACGTAGGTGGTCAATCGATCCATACTCTGTCCATGTGTTCGTGTTTGTGTGGTTAGCACAAGGTATAGGACATTCGATTTGTTGGCTAGAAGGGGTAGCATCGATTCCAAGTGGTGCTGCGATGTTGACGGTGACATTGTGTAGGACGTCAACTCGTGTGGTCTTGTCGAGCGAAGGATGCGGAGCAGCTACTGCTATCCACGAAAGAAAATAAACTAGTTTCATTGTTGATCTGGTTATAGAGGTTAGTCGATTGCCTTGGTATGAGACATGAGTGTTAGTATTTAGGTAGCTTGTGCGTGGCAGTGATAAATACATAGTCAGATTCTGTGTCATAGTCAATGTTCGTTCTCACAGTCAATGATTTCGCCTGATGAAGAAATGTTTCCAGGGAAATTCATGCCTTTGGGCCTTTTAAAACAGTTCTGCAATCTGACCTTTTCGGTTCGAAGTAGAATCTTAAACCTGAATATACGACCGTGAGAGCTACGTTATCACCTCAAATGTGGTTGAGAAATTATTTGAGTTAATGTTTGTTGAAGCATATGGGGCTTGGCACCCTGGTAAGTATTTTATGGTTTTCAAAGCCATTACATTCCGTTGTACAGGATGTCTACAGACCATCAGTGGATAATGGCACGAAACACCTTGAGCGGTTTTCCGAGACGTTCAATATGAGCTTCATTTTACAGCAAGGTTTGATAGCTTAGAGTCGAAAGATCTCATGATATAAATCAGATGATCTACCTATTTACTTGTGCGTGAATTCCACCCCTTAGCGAACATGATGCTATATGTTGCCTAACTAGATCTTCTCGTCTACAGGCTATAAACCGATCGCAGAATCAGGAAATATTCGAACCCTCGTCACCTTGGAGGCTACAGATGTTGGCTAGTAAGATAGCCTTTTAGAATTGATGCGGTCCCCCGGAGTGTTATGGAAGGTAAACTTTGTGTATCTCCTCTCAGCCAGTCAGACCATAAGGTTCTGCCGTGCTTTGAGCCTTCACTTAGCTGTGACACTCGAAAACTAAAGTCTGACATCATGCTAACTTGCCAAGGTGTCACTTGATGTCCCACTAAGAGGTCATGCCTTCAATTATTTAAGCGAGCTCATGCCTGCCTCCAAAGTTTCATCTCTCACTCTCAAGCACAATTTACTTGCCCCGGGCCGACATCTTTTTCAGAGCTGCAAAGATGCCCGAACTCGCCGAATGCAAATACTCCCGCGAAGAGTGCATAGCGTCAATCCGCGACTATTACAGCTTCTTAAGTACGATGTATGTCCACGAAGACGACATCCTGTATCCTCCAGAAGAAGGTTGGCCTACAATTACAACGGAAACTTTGAAAGACATGGGAAAATCAAATGAGGTCATATGTCTTCTACGCCATCTACCCTACATTCGTGTCCCGAGCAATCCCTTCAATCAGGCTCAGGGCGCTCCTTGGTGCCGTTTTGCCGATTGGCAACACACAGGAGCCCGTGTCGAATGCGGCATGGATGGCCAGGATTTGAAAATCATGTCGGAAGGTTCCGAAATCTGCGACAACGCACCCTCCCACGTGATTGGTCTCACAAAGGGTGGCCGCGAAAATCCTGTTTTCCTCTTGGATACAGAGCTTGGCATAATATACTGGCCAGAATGCCCAGACGGGATCTCGGACAATCCTTCCTACGACCATCTGCGAGTTTTCGACGACCCTCACGAGTGGGCTCCAGAAAACGAGGCCGACTGGCGTGGCGATGCCACTCGCTGGACCGTGAATGGTTTCTTCGAAGTTCTCAAGGATCAATTTCGAAAACTGAACTTTATCCCCACCAGTCAACTGTCTGTCATCGATGTATACGCGTATCTCAGACCAGGCTCGGACGGCTTGGTGGAAAAATTACAATTCATCTATCATGAGCATGGCTGGCCGGGTCTGGAAAATTATCGGAAGCAGGAATGCTTGAAAGCTGTGGAGGCCGCAATGGAACAACAGTATGGAATGGATGATTGAGTGGCTTGGGAAAAGAGGCCGGATCTACATGAGTCAGCATAAAAGTCTGGGGAGGTTTCATCTGCTTCATTGCTGTGGGAGTCGGCTTCGCAGAATAATTCAGTCATGACAAACTCGAGCTATCACAAAGTCTTATTAATGGTCAACTTTCAGAAGACAACTCAGCTAGCAGAGTCCAGCTGAGGATTTCTGAAACCTGTAATCCGATTTCTGTATCCAGAAGCGCCTGAAATCCCTGCTACATCTGTTGAGGGTTTAGCAGCTTTCTTCTCAGCATTAGTTTATTTGCATTGGTTCCACAATATCCGTGATTGTGGACTTTGGAAGAGTTTCTGAAAAGACTCGTGGTAATCTCTAGAAGATGGCTTCCTCGAGATTACTACTAAATTACCGCGCCGATGTGCGTGAAACTAACCTATCTATAGATACAGTACATTGAATACCTTACTAGTGATTTCAATGTGAAGGATATTCCACAAACAACAAAGTCTAACGTGTCTTGTACTACTCTAAAAATCTTCACCTCAATTGTGTATTGAAGAAAAGCCTGGTGAAAGCTGTTGTAAGAGAGCACAACTACGTCTGTACAGAAAGTCAGCTGTCATCAACGCAAAACAGATTCGTTGCTGCATACCTAATTGTGAGAGGGTGGTATTTTTTTTTTTTGAGCAAATAGCTCCTCGCTATGTCCTTTTTACACAACTTGCCTTACTTGTGATTCCTGGCTAGAAAACATGCGATTGTGCCTCAATCATATTCTTCCTCTAGTCACGTAAAACGTAAAAAAAAAAAGGAACAATTTCGGAGCAATAGTACTGTCTTGTCAATGACGGATCCTTGAAGCTACATTCAACGGCTACAGGCTCGAAGGCTTCTAGGATGCGATTCTATTTCAAAGGGACAATTCGCAACGACTGACCATTGGCGGTAGCCGCCATTTCTCTGGATGCTTCAAATGTGGCTCTTAAAGCTTAACAAATCATGAATGGCATCCATCAGGGTAAGTTGACCACACCGCACCAAAGGTGAGCCTTGATGGTTTTGGTTTAGGGTTAACGATTTCTAACCTCTTTGAATCGAGAGCTTTTCTGGGACCCTTCATGCCTCATGACTCCGAACGGTGGTCTATTTGCCAGGATTCTTGCACGGGTTTCGACACAACGCGTCTTATCATACAAGCGCGTTTCTCTCACCAACTCACGCATCGGGGTCATGTTCGGGCTTCGAGTATAATTGCAGAGGATTGCCAGTAAGGTCGCGAGTAGCCACTGACGTCAGGTCGAAAAGAAAGGTAGCCTCGAACCAGCCATCAAAACAAGGTTAAGGTATTCGTTTGGCTTTCCGTCGAGCGGGTCTTCCCCCGACCCCCTGAAGTATGCCTGCGCCCAGGTGGAGTAGTAGGCCAGCGTCAGAAGCACGAAAACATGTGTACATGAAATCAGACACTTACTTTGGGAACGCGAACAGTACAACTATCACAGCAAACTAACTGTCGGCTGCAAGTACTTCGTAGTGCCAGACGCTTCCACTGTTCTCACTAGACGTGTCAGAACAGCCAGTGGGTCATCGCCTCTGTCTCATTCGGAAAATGTAAGCAGCCAACTCGGAGCCGACCCCCCCAAAGTAACCAGCCTGGATGTTAAATGCCCACAAAATCTAAGCAGCCAGGCTTAGCGGCCGTTTCCACTGTCCTAAAATCTGACGGTCGTGTTTGCTGTGTTTTGGCGAGTTGAATGGTCAATTCGGTGATCACTTCCCTCATTTGGGATGGCTTAGACCGGGAGGACAGGGCAAAACAGGCAGTAAGGTCTCATTTGCCAACGCTTGGCAGCGCGTAAGAAGAAATGACTTTGCACCCAATGGTGCCATATGCCAGAATCCAACCCGCTAAACCGACGAACCAGCGGCCCGTTGCACCAGCTTAGTCTCGTATGGAGGACAACAATTGTGCAGCCACCCGCAGGGCTGACCCTTCAGGTCCCCATAAGCTGAATCCTTTGACGAAAGCCCCTTCGACCCGCGGCGTTGCGGATCCCATCTTCCAGCCGAACAGTTTTCCCGCTCATGTTAAATGATCTTGGTCCCATTTAGGGAACCCTGTTTACGACCTTCTCCCTGCGACAACCGTAATTCCAAGCAAACTTGTCCTGTTTTTGTACCTCGAAACCATGGATTTCGACACGATCCGATGGCGATTCAGCCTCCGCAGTTTCGTGACCGCGGCATCCATCGCGGTCCATTCGTCTTTCGCGCAAGAATGCGCGTATGAAGGAGGATGGGCGCTTCGAAACGATAGATCATGTCCGCCGAGCGCACCTGTCGAGTGTGGCACAGGAGCGCAACCGAGATGCTGCCCCTCGGGTTTCAAATGCACTGGAGATGGTGATTACGTGGGCAACTACTGTTGTGAAGGTTGGTAAACGCTGTTTGGACACTTCAATCAACATAATCCTGATCCTAGATCAAAAGATCCTTCTGACTGCAGGGACTTGTCGTTAAAATACCCTAAGGTGAGGGCAACTACAATCCAGCTCCTCGAGCATGGGAGTAATGCTGATCCTACATTTTCATCATAGTGCCCTAATTCAGACTGGACTCTCTGGGGGGTCGACGGAAAGATCGACAATGGTGGATGGTGCTGCCAATCCGGGCAAAACGGGACATACCGCGATAACTCGAACGGAATCGCCCTGCTGTGTACTCCCGCGACGGCGACAGCACTTGCTTCGAATATCTTCTGGGCTGCGACAGTTAGCACTTCATCCTGTTCCACATCGTCGACGAGTTCGACACTCGCCACAACGTTAGCGACTGCGACTGCCGCATCAACGACCGCAACCACTACTGCCGGAGCTTCCGCCACGACCGCGATGACGGCCACCTCTACGCCGTCGGGTACGGGCGATTCAACCTCAATGTCTACCGGAGCGATAGCCGGTGCTGCGGTCGGAGGCGTCGCTGGCGGA